TAATATCCCTACACTGGTGGCAATATTATCATCAATATTGCTGTTTTGTGAGATAGGAACTTGATTTATTTAGGGAGTACTGCTAGCTTAATTCACTCAGTAATTGTTAAAATCCAGCCCTTCCCAGAAAAGATTATTTCTCTTTAGATAGCAGGTTTGTTGGAGAATGTTTTTGTAGGAGTCTAAGAAGGGACTCAATTCTGAGGAGCTTGTTCCCTTTCCTGAGGATAGACTAACATAATAAACACTTCCAACCCTCTGTGTGTGCTGGCCCTGTTTTTTGCGACATTGATTTGACATTTCACTTGTTCATAATCTAAAACGCAGCTCCCCAGAATCACTGGAAGTCTGAAGAAAGTAGCTACCGAAGTCTCAGGGCTCTGACTTCACCAGGGGCTTCAGAGGCCTCGGAAGTGACCTGCCACTTTATATATCCTAAAAAAAAAAGTTTTCATTTCCTCTGACTCTCTTTCTGATTTCAGAGTGTTGCTAACAGATTAGATCTGCTCAGTCATAGAGCCCAGAAAAGATGTCAGCCAATTCAAGCAAAATGAAATGGAAAGATTTCTAGCTCAAATGAATTATTTGCTCCTCCCACATCCCCACCCCCAGAAGCTGGTTGGAATTATTAAAAATCTCTCACCTTCTGCCTATCTCTCTATAAATGTGACATATTCATATATTTACATTATATCTATAATTCAGACTGTGTGTAGTAAATAAGTATATGTACATACAAATCCAAACATGACATATGACTTTAAGAGATAGTTGTAGATTTATTTTTAATGTAACAGTTGTAAAGGTGTATTACACAGCCATCTCCATTTTTATCTAGAAAGATATGCTAGCATAGGGAGTTAAATCCACATACACACAAATTATTGAGTTAGAGGGAAAGGGTCAGAGATTAAAGAGACTGGTTTTACATAATGTAAAATCAATGTAGATTATATTTATATAACTAGATACCGAAACCAACAGGTACACAGATAGAGCAAGAGAGACACCCAGACAAATTGGGAGAGCTTAAAAAAAATAGCCACTGCTAATTGGTTTGAGAAAAGTAGCTCATTTATGTATCTGAGTCTAAGCACATAAACACATATACATCTTAACACTCAGACTACGTGTAGATTACCCAGACTGGGCTCCTGGCTCTATTGTTTAATATCACTTGGTGTCAAGGAGGAATGGAATTAAAGAGTCAGATAGAATTCCATAGTCTCCAACCCTATAAATATGGGAATGTAATTTGGGGAAAAGTTGGTGTCCCACCTGTAGCAGACCTGGCTGGTTGAAGTTACCTGCTTTTAAATCTGGGGGTTCCTTCTCTCATCCTTGGTGCCAAGGAAGGCTTGCTGAATTTAGAAGTAAGAAACATTGAGACTTTAATCTTGCTTCTTCAAGGCCATCTGGGTAACCTTGGGCAAGTTACTTAGCCTTCCCAGGCCTGTTTGCTCATGAGGGAGCCCTTTGAGATCTTTTCCAATTCTAAACCAAAGATCATCACTCTGACTTTAGAAAGCTCCGAGGAAGCAGAGGACTGGGGCTCCAGAAAATAAAGAGAATAGTCTGATTCTGGCCCTGAGGGGCCATAGGGATGTCTATTCTTGTTTTCCAATCAATTAGCTAAGGGACTGATTAGTCAAAGAAGCTGAAAGTGACAGGGAGGACCTTGCAAATTTCTACTGATACGTTTTCAGTTCAAACTTAAATATTGGAAGTCCTAAATATTCTCCTTTTCCTTAACTATTGTATAATTCAAGCAAAAACAGATTGGTGAGCCATTATCACAAAGACAACTAGGATTGTGTAAAACTGTCAAAACCAGAAGTATCTCCTTTTACCCAAGTCTGATTAGATTTCTGAGAAATAGAGTTAGAGATTCTACTTCCCCTGGGAGTACCTGGATTAAATTGAAGATCCAGTGAAGGATGCTGTTTAGGGAAATAGGGAGGGGGTGTGGGTTAGTGGAGTTTTGCAGTGGGGGTGAGGGATATCACGTGAAAGTAATGGGGGAGGCCCAGGAAGGGGTGGAAGGGTGGAATCAGCCACTAAAATGTACTGGTGGAGTCTAGAGACTTGGTGGGAAATGGGAGATGGAGGAGATTGCGACAAAGGTGTGTATGTGTGCGGGGAGTGATAGTATTGGGCAGAATATTGGAGGCTTTGCAGGTGATTTGCTGACATGAAGCGATCTTCCCCATCTTGGGGAATGGTCTAGCTGACTAGGGTGAGGGATGCACAGTCTTTCAAGTTAAAGCATTCTCCGAAATCTCCCTACCCAGAAAATGTGTTGCATTTGTTCTCCTTTATGGAGGCTGCACTCAAGTGGGGCACTGCTTTCTGAACTCAAGCCTGAATTTACAGTACTTGATTTAAGACTAGGCTCTATCACATAACCACGCACTGTAGCAGCCCTTCAAGAGCTAAAGGAGAATGAGAAGCAGCATTATATGGCCTCCTCAATCCCTCTTCAACTCTCTTTCCACAAGTTTGTTGCAAGAACACAAGAAGTTTCTGTATAGGGAGCTAGCCTAGAAATCAAGAAAACCTAGTTTAGAGACTTACCCCAGTAAATGTGAAATCATGGATAAATCAGTTACTCTCTCGGTGCTTGGAGACAACTCTCTAAATTACTGACCCATCTTTGAAATTTCCACACCTAAAAACTCTCATTATTGGTTTCCTTCACCAGTGGAGTCACAGGTCCAGACCAAAGCTGCACGTCCAAGTCTTGCTGATAGTTTTATGTCCCTGACTTTAATAGGCGTATCTATTCTGTTCAGCTCACCTCACACTGGGGGATAAGCCTCGTTTATGCATTAGATCAATTGCATATACATATATATATATATATATATATATATACATATATATGTATATATACATATGTATATATATATATACACATATATATATACATATGTATATATATATATGTATATATATGTATGTGTGTGTATATATATATATATATATATATATATATATATATATAAATGCAACCAACACACACATACACCCCATACAACACCCTCAAATCCTTCCCAAACATTTACTAAAATGATTCTTGCCAATAAGAATTCAATCTGATGTCGAAATCACTATCATTGAATAAAGACACAAAACTGCCGGCTAGTCTCTTTGAATGATTACTGGACCTCTACTCTTGCGAGGCATCTTAAGCTGTGAGATAACATTAATCCTTTACATTACTGTGCACTGCACTATTACTTTTTTCCCCCGCAGGCTATGGTAAAATGGCCCTGTAGTGCATATATTATTTTAATCTGACTATACAGATTGTCGGAATAATTTTTGTGAAGACGGTATTCCAAACTACGCAGTTGGATTATTTCCTCCAATAAGATGGTTTTCTTCCTCCTGCATCCTATAGGGAGAGATTGCCTTAATATTTCTTAAACTGTATCATGCAAAAGATTGGGTCATTTAAAATTGAGTCTTGTAATACATTAAAAAAACTAAAAGTGAGAAAGTTGAGTTAAAAACAAAAATTACATTACACACGTTTCGTCCCACTCGATCTGTGTTCCTCCTCCCATCAAACACAAAACATGGAGTTTTCAAATGAGATGAACACCGTAAGTACTTCTCACAAAGAGATGAACTCTCAAAAGTTAGAGAAATGAAATTTTATTGAATACCAGAGAAGTGACTCGGCCCCTAAATTGTACGTAATGGTAGTGGGCTTTTAAAAATCCATTCATTTTTATTTTGCATAATTTCTCAAATATGTGCCCTTAAGAACATTTTTAAAACGTGCTCAAAAACCATGACCTGAATGTTAAAATAATTGAAAAAAAAAAAAGAGAGGTGTGGAGCAACACTTTTAATAAAGTGGCGTGCCATTTGGGATCTGTTTGGTTTCAATCTATGAGAGCAGAGACTGATTGGGGATGCAAGCTTCTGATCACCTAAACTTAAAGGAATTTACAGTTCTCCGATTCCACACGCTCCCACACACCATAAAACGTTTTTTTTAAAATCCATTTAAAAGAAATCTCGGTGATAGTGGGTTCCTTCCACCCACCCACCCCCCACCCACTCAACCCCCCTTTAATGTATGCTCGTGACTAACTGCTCTGCGTCGAGGCCGAAAAGTTTCGAAGTGCTTTTCACTTGGAGGACTCCTAGCCTTCCTATCCTTTAAACTCGTGGCTAATCAAAGCAGTCGGCCTTGCACCCTTTTGAGATAGTAGGAAAGGGATCAGATGCTTGACCTATGTGTGTGCGCGTAGAGGTGGGGGAGGAAGGGGTAGGGACCTAGGGGAAGGGCGAGGGTGGAGACTGGCAGGAGATAGGGGAGATCGAGGGGGCATCCGTGCTGGCTGTCGGACTGAGCCAGGCGGCGGCGCATGGAAGCCCTCCACTTTTACAGCCTTGTAAGGAAACGGGCCCCGGCTTCCCCCAGGCCGGGCTTCTGGGATTGGTGGTTGGGCTGGGTGATTGACAGAGTTCTAGGGCTCCACCCCGCCCCCGCCCCTTCCCAGCCGCTTTATTGACACTAATGAGCAAGTTCTTCCCACCGCTCTCCTGCCTGGAAGTGCTGACAGATCAAGGCAACAAATTTCAATTACAAGACTTAATTTGTGTCCGCAGAGGGTTTTTTACCCATGTCAGTTCTTTCTGGCGCATCAGACAAGGCAGAGCTTGGAGGAGAAGAAGGAGGTGGGGGGTGGCAGTGAAGACTCACATCCCTGGAAAAAAAAATAGGAAAAAGGAGAGAGCACGCAAAAGGATTAATTAAAAACAAAACAAAACAAAGACAAGTTGGCGGAGGCGCCGCTGATGACTCGGATTTAAGGAAAATCGGGAAGGAAACGCCAAATTTGTTCTTGCCGGCGGCAAGGAGGGCAGATCTGAAGCTGCGGGCGGCAGCGCGTATTTTTTGTTTTGTTTTGTTGTTTTTTTTGGGGAGGGAGGAGAGGAGAGCGAGTGTGTGTGTGTCTGCGTGTGTGTGAGTGTGCGCGCGCTAGTGTGCGTGTGTGTATATGAGAGGTGGGAGCGCCGCGCGCGTGTGCTGGGGCGGCGGGGATGGCAGAGAAGAGGAGAAGCTCGCCCTGCAGCATGCTGAGCCTCAAGGCTCACGCTTTCTCTGTGGAAGCGCTGATCGGCGCGGAAAAGCAGCAGCAACAGCAATTGCAGAAGAAGCGGAGGAAGCTGGGCGGAGACGACGCCGTGACCGCCGCGGAAGGAGGCGGTAGCGGCAGCGGCGGTGGATGCGAAAAAGGCTCGGTGGAGGGAGCCGAAGGCGCCTCTGTACCGCCGCCGCCAGGGGCCGGAGCAGGGACTGGCGCGGGGTCCCTGTCTGCCCGGAGTTGCGCGGAGATGGAGCGGACCTGCGGTTCCCGAGGACCTGCCGGTGAGTCCGTCCCTTGCTCACTTCCATCCCCAGCGGCCCGGGGCTGCACTGGACTCCAGGAAGAGGCAGCCCCTGGTTCCAGACCTAAGTAGGGTCTGCCACTGGCTTCAAGGCAATTCCCGGGGGGCAAAATGCCCAGGCTCTGGGCCTCCGGCGGCTAGGGATTGCTGTGGGGATATTCCTCTGCTTAGCAGGTTTCATTTGGGCTTTGGGATAATCAACCGTAGGCAGGAGGGCTGCGTTGCCTTCTCTGTCCCTAGCTCCCCCCCCCCAGCTGCGGCTGCTGAGATGTCTGCACTCCTGCACGCGCAGCTGTTTACACCCGTGGGTGGCAAGGCACAAGTAAGTGTCTCAAAGTTACTAGTCAAACTTCCTCACTCTCCACTCTCTGATTTAAAGACCCGCTGGCTGATTTTTTTTTATTTGAAAACATTACCTTAGCCTTTAGGCTTCTGGCTCACACTTTTTGCAGCCTTCTAGACCCCCTCGTTTATATCGTCCCGTTCCCCGACCCCTTCAACTCGTGCCAGTGTCGCGGCCCAGCAGAGATTCTCCTGCTTTCATTTTAAAGCATTCTCCAGTCCTAAAGACACAGTGGGCTATTCCCTTTCTAATGGTTTTTAAAATTGACCCTCCAACCTCCTTAACACTGGAAAACATAAATTGACTACAGAGCAACTTAGCCAAGAGGGAGATAGTGTTTTCACGTTTGATTTCTTGTCTCTGGCTTCGCACTGAGGGTTCAGTTTCCTTTTTTCTTCTGGAGCCCTTTTGGGACGGGAAAAGATGCCCAGGGACAACAGGTTGGTTCGAAGCGTCGGGAACTAGGTTGTTTTGTTTGTTTGATTTTATTTTAATTTCATTGCAATCCTTGAAATCAGGTATTGCCAGCATGTTTAGTGGAATAGCTCGGGAGGCAGGAAATCCTCCTTGCTGTCTTAACCAGGGCTGATGAAAAGGATTTTGTCAAGTGGGACCAGCAGGCTCCTTGTCAAACTTCAGTGAGATTTCAGGGTCCTGCCCGTTTGTTACCGTCTACTTTCTGGCCCAGGCTGGGGCAGCACTTTGAGGAGGGCAGGACTTGGCGCAATCAGGCTGGGACTGGGATGACTGAATTTAGTGGCTTTTCCGAGGCTTTCTCTTGCTTGGTGGAGTGTAAGGCTTACCAGGTGGCCGGCCGTTGCTGCAACTTTTTTTCCTATCCCAGTGCCTGCTTGGTTTACTGCTGGGTTCGAGTATCGGGTATCTCTCTCTGTTGCACCCTAGTCCCTCCCTTCCTGGCGGGCGTTTTCTAGTTTCAGCCCTAGTGTGGAGATCCCAGTGCAGGCCCATGCGGGCGGCTCCAGGACTAGGAAGGTGGTGAGGGCCCGAGACTAGGCCTGGGGTTGGAGAAGTGAGTTCTGGCCTGGCACCACGACTCTTCCCTGCTCCAGGACTGAGCCCTTCTCCTAGTTTCCACAGATAGAGAAGCTATAGCAGTGAGGGAGGTCTCAAGCAGCACTTCTCAGATTGTCAAATAGTGAGGGCTGTGAGGTTGGGGGTTAATGTGTTATAGAAAACAAGGGAGGATATCCACTTCGCTTTTGGTTTCTTTGGGGCACTCAGGTCACAGTCTTGACTTCAGGCTCAGCTATCTCTCCTTTTATCCACCTTTTTCTCCCTGACTGCATAAACTGTGTTCAGTAACCCCTCTCTCTTTTGCAGGCGGCTGTGAAGACGGTTTCCAGCCCGGAGCCTCCCCAGCCATGTCCCCGGGAGCCTCTCCGAAAGGGTCCCCAGTTCCTCCGCCTGCCCCTCTCCCGGTACTGCCTCAGGCCGGGTCCCCGCTACCCTCCCCGCAGGCACCCCGGGTGGATCTTCAAGGCGCAGAGCTGTGGAAACGCTTCCACGAGATCGGCACAGAGATGATCATCACCAAGGCCGGCAGGTAAAGGGCCAAACTGTCGGAAAGACCAATTCTCTTTTACTCTCCTCAGTAAATCAGTTGGAGAAGGTACAAATAATGGCTTTCAGTAGGTGGGCCACCGGCCTATGTGGGTGCCCTGCTGTGGCACCTTGGTTAGAACAGACGGTCAGGAAGAGGAACAGACAAACGTTCCATATTTGTCCCCTTTTTGCCCCTCTGTGAAAGGGGGACAGAGGCAAAGAACTGGAGCTGCATTAGCTGTGGAGTAGAGCAGTGAGTAGCTTTTGGAAAAGCAAGCTCAGTAACACAGCGCTGAAATCCAGAAGAAAATAACTGTGACCTAATGCAGAAGGCCATTAGCATTCAGATTCACCATGGAAATCAACTTTAGATGTGGAGTTCTCCTTTTATACAGTTTTCCAAAGCCTTAGAACATGTGAGGAAGCTCTACGTTGTAGGACTTTTTGGCATTTCGACTTCCCGTCCTGGGAGTTTTGCATTTTCAAATCCATATTTAAGGTTACCCATTGGTTCTATCATCCAGTTCTATTTAAAAAAAAAAGTGTGAATCATCCAAATCTGTTTTATTCTAAGATTGGATTGAGATGAAAATAAATTTGAAATTCAGTAATAAATTATCATCTTGAGCTTTGATCTGTGTTCCTGTATTGATTGCCCTCCCTTTTGAATTTGCTCTTTTTAGTACGTGGGTGAGGGATCCTCCCCAGTGAAGTTTTCTAAATTACGTGAAATCAGTAATACCATCAAACTTTTTTTAAAATAATTAATTAATTTTTTTCAAAGACAGTTTTTAATAACTGTAGAGATTTATACAAATGGTAAGCAGGGCCTAAAACCTGTAGTATATCCCTCTAACTATATAAAATAAACTGATTCATATCCCAGGCAATGAGAAAATAGAAGCATTTGGAGCTTTAAGTTTCCTATTCATTTAGCACAGTCCCAAAGTCTATGAATAATACGTTTTTCTTAAAAGGAACCTTCTCCCCTGCCCCCCCAAAAAAAACTTCCAGTGGGTACAGATGGTAAAAACCTGCGCAGCATAAAAGTATCCAAACTTATTAGAAATTACAAAAACATATTTTATTGAATCCATATGCTGCTTTCTACATTTTCAGAGAGGTTTTTTTTTTATTAATGATCCAAATTCAGTCTTCAATAGCACAAAGTAACATTTGTCTTGTGTAGGGTCGAGTCAAAGACTTTCTCTATCTTACAGGTGCACTGAAATAACACTAAAAATGAGCTAGCCTGTCAAGTACTCTCATGCCTAGTTAGAAATAATGGAGTTTCTTTTCTATAGATGCCTTCTTTAATTGCATTCATATTTTAAGTGGGGAAGACTATTTAGTTACTTAGTATTAAGTAGTTGAGTTAAGAACTTAGAGTACCCTAAGTCAGATTAACTGTAAAAACAGATCTTGGATATAAGTCATAGCAGGACAATGTTTTATTTTAAAATTTAAAATCTTGATTTTTTTCTTTATCTGACTCAAGACTAATTATATGTTACATAATTTCTTACTTTTGCTCTTGAAAGCACTCACATCTTTAAAAGATGAGTTAATATGGCTTGAATATTACAGGATAGTGGCATCCTAAGGAGGCAGAGATAGATGAAAGGTTTTCCTAAATGTCGTAGTTAGCCAATTATCTAGTTATCCTTGCTAAACAAGATTAAACTATTTTGGTTATTTGTTGTTGTGAGGATTTATTATTATTTTGGAAGGGTGGAGTGGGTGGTATATATACCTTGTATTTGGTTTCTGCTTTCAATAAAGAAGTTTTACTATACCTTTCAAACTTCGAGTAACTTTTGTTCTTCACCTTTAGCACGTTGCAGACAGGAAGTCCTGTCTCAATAAAGAACATATTGTTTCGGGTAGAGCATGGCACCTTGGCTCCTTGTGGCTTTTTATAACCTTTGTAAATTTCACATTAGAATCTGCTTCCCTCACTTCCCAGTATTTAAATTCCCAGTCTTCTACTAAATACACTTTCTTGTTTATGTATTTGTATAAAACATACTACAAAAACTTTTATCAAAACAAATCCATTGCTAACTTTAGTGCATGCTATCTCTATGTCCACTTCTTTACCTTGAAATAAAAGGGAAATTGCAGCAAACTTTGATATATGTACATGTTATAACAGATTGCATCTTATAAATCAGTTTTGATAAGTACCATTTTTTGATTGCTTGGCATTTATTTGTATCAAAAATAGAGATCTGAAGAGAACTTTGTTCAGCTCACAAAATTCTCCTTTCTTGTTCCCCAAATCCTTCTTGGTAGCATGTGGGGATAGAAGAGAGACAGAACTGTTTGATTTTTGTCTTTTTTATTTCCAATGTATACCACAGTTTTTGGAACATAATAGGTACTTAGATTGAATTGACTTGATTAAATAAACATCACCACATTCATTCCTTTAAAAAACAATAACTTCTTTCCCCCTTTATTTTGTGTAGGCGGATGTTTCCTGCTATGAGAGTGAAGATCTCTGGTCTAGACCCACATCAACAGTATTATATTGCAATGGACATTGTGCCAGTGGACAATAAGAGATACAGGTATTATTAATGACCATGCAGATGAGCTCAGGGGCTGAAGTTTCAGAAGGAACAGAATCTATGAAATTCAATTGATAGAAGATTTTTGTTTTTAGGGGTTTAAGAATTTTTTTTTTTCATTTCAGAGTCTAAAACCTTGTGCTTGGGCCAGAAACAGAACGATCATGAATTTTCTAGGACAGTGTTTTCTACATGTGGTGCCCAGTGCCTATGTAGATGAGGGCTCTTTGTTTTGTTTCACTTTGCTGGATGCAATCATTCCTCTGACTCCATGAAAGATATATAATAGGGAACATTTTTAGTGCCTGTTTAGTTTCCTGTTTAAAATCTCTACACAGATCATTTTGCCTTTTAAATTAGCTTTCTATTTTCATTTTCATTTTGGGAGTAAATGTGTGAATAATACAGATAATAATATTTGCATCTTGATGACCCTAAAAATTTAACTTAGGATTGTTTCCCCAGGTTTCAGTAACCCTCAAGCAAATGCAGTATCTTTTTGGTACATTAAATTGAATTTGGGACAGATTTTTAAAATTATATTTCTACAAATTTCCAAAAACACTTGCAATTTTTTGTGATTTGTTACCAACAAGATAAAGTACCTATGTGTTTGATAATAATAAAATACTATTTATATGTGGGCTATTTTTTTGTTTTAATTTTTAACTAAATAGCAGAAAGTAACACCATTAATTTTCTGACACTTGAAAAGCCCTACAAAACTAGGGTTTTTTTTCCCTTCTTCCAGCCAACAGCACTGTTTTAAAAATTACTTTTTATAAAATTTGGGCTTTGTAGTTACCATTTATAAATACCACTGACCACCAAGAAGGCTTAGAAAAGGTCATCTGGAGCACAAATTGAGATTTTGTGTATCCTCTATAAAGTTTAGTTCCAAATTTCATAGACAATATATTCTTTTTTTTTCTCATGAAAGAATTAGAAAGGCCACAAAAAGTCACCATTGGATGTTGAGATTTTAAAATAAGTATTTACTAGTATAGGAGATAATTGTTTTTAACTTTACTTGTCTTCCCCATTTTGTATTTTGTGTGAAGGACCAGAATGGTCGAACAAACAATCTTACTTTTAATGGATTGCTAAATGAGATTAGGTTTATGTTCCATATAACTTTTTTTGTTCTAGATGGATAATTGCTTTATTTAAATAGTTGAATGGTATTAGAAGAGTAGATAGATTTAATTAACAAATGGAAGTATAGAATATGAATAAAGTGAGTAATAGCAAACAGTTTTATTGATCTTAATTTTTATTGTACTGTGTTCTATTTGCATTTTGTGTATAAGTATTTCTGAGAATTTTAATTGAAATTATTATAGATTTTAAAATGAGCTTTGAAGATGAAAAGTATACATAGTGCTAAGAGTGACTATCTGATTGTATCAGAGAGGCATAAAAAGCCAATAAAGTTTGTTCTTTAACTGCAATTTTTTTAAATCCACATTTGAATCTCAGTTTTGTCCTAAGCAGTATAAAATAACTTAGGGTAAACTAGAAGAAACCATCCATTACTCTTCTAAACCAGCTTTCCTCAATTTAATTTTGGTTAATTTGCTGAATGTAAATTATTCTCTAGCTTTTTATAAGAACAAAAGAGGAGTGAAACAAGAAAAAAGTTTCCAATAAAAAAAATAAGATGTCAAATGCAGTGTTCCCTCACATTGTAAAGTATTTTAGCTCCTGCTTTCTGCACAGGAAAATATTATAGTTCAGTATTTACATTTATAATGTTTGACAAAGAATTATAAAATGCAACTTTGCTACTATTAGTGGGAAATGCTTTTCAAAATTGTTTAATATGTATGGCTTTTCAGGTTTTTTATGACATGATCGTGGTTTTACCTCATTTGCTAATAATTTAAACCATCCTTGCCATTCATTTTTCTTCTATTCCTCCAGAGCTTGCATCTTTTTCTTTTGGTTGCAGCAATACTGGATGTTAAAAAATGCATAATAGGCTCATATTCTAAATTTTAGAAGGTTATTTAGAAAGTAAAGAACATTGGTGATTTTATACCCTGGGATAAAATGAATAGACAAAATTAACACACAAGAAGAACTATTTATTCAGAAGGAGACTTCCAAAATAAAGTAATTAAAGCAAGGCTTATAACTGTATAATCATTAGGTATTTTGTTTCTAAAAAGGAGATCATAGGACAGAAATAAAGAATGTTGAAATTTCAAAAGAGAAACACACTGAAATGTGTGGATTTATCTGAAAGATGTAATTTCATCTGAGAACTTATGGAAATGTTTTGTATTCTTTGAGTAATAAATTGATGGCCTAAGCAAATAGATATTATTTCTGATAATATTGTTTGACAGTCCCTTGAAATTACCTTCATGTTGCATTTGAGAGAGAAAAAAGAACTAAAAAAAACTATCTCTGCAGATAGTTTGATTTCTTTCCCTCTCCCCCTTCTTCTAGATTCATTAATAAGCCCAGATCCAGGTTTTAAATGAGTGGATTTTAGATTAATATCAATAAATGATGCCGTCAAGGTCAGGAATGGATTGTTTTTTAAGAAGATAAAGGTTAATTTCATATTGTTAGTTAATTTCACCGAATGACCACATCTGTATTTTGGTATGATCCCAAAGTGAATTGGTATATTTCTCTACAAAACTATACAATCAATTTTAATTCTTTTTGCATCATCTTCATAATAGGATTTATACTTGGAATAGTACAATTTGAAAATTATTTGAAAGTGTTCTGTATTTGGGGGAATTGTTTTATAGAAGTATTTATTTGGTTAACATCTTGTCATTAGTCTTTAAAAGTATGGAATCCTAATATAGACAGAGAAAAGAATACATATAAAGTTTTATATTTCATGAATATGTACAAGTTAAAAAATAAACTGAATAATTTATATTTAGCTTATATAATATTATAGCATTAAAAATAAGCTAAATAATTTATATTTAGCTTACATAATATTATAGCATTAAAAAACCCAAATAACAACCAACTGAGAAGAAAACTGTAATTGAACTTCTCTTATTCCCACCTCCCTTCCCCTTCCCCCAACCTCTGCTATTGCTGTAAATATTTGAATATAAAGAGATTCCAAGAAGAAAGATGTACTATATAAACTGACAAGCTTTTCCAATTTTTTTGAGATTTTGCTAAGTCTGCAGCACAGTTTGAGGGGATTATTTGCCTATAAATGCAAGCACCAATCTCCAGACCAAAAAACAAAACAAACCAACAAACAAAACACAATATAATCACTGTCATTGTCACATTTTCCAAATATTAAGATGTTCAGTATCTAGTAGCTTGAGGTTGAAATGTAAATTAAAACGTTGGTCCCTAAGAATCAAGACATTTATCCTTTACATAGCATTCATATCAAGCTCATTGCTACTGAAAGCTGTCACTGAGAGTCTCAAGAAGTACAAAAAGAAGTTTTGCTTTGTTTTGTTTTTAACCCGAATGGGTTGGGGAAGGGGGAAAAATAATTTTTATTCTTACTGAGTTGGTGCCATTATTGATCTCCCATTGATCCAAGTTGCTATGGCATATGCTTCTGTTCCCCGCTAGGTATGTTTATCATAGCTCCAAATGGATGGTGGCAGGTAATGCTGACTCACCTGTGCCACCTCGAGTTTACATCCATCCTGATTCACCAGCTTCAGGGGAGACTTGGATGCGGCAAGTGATTAGCTTTGACAAGCTGAAGCTTACCAATAATGAGCTGGATGACCAAGGACATGTGAGTGCCTTGCCTTGCTTAACTGAAGCAAGGAATCACTTTTCTTTCTACACAGCCATTGTTGTGCCTTATTCAACTGAAGGCAAATGAACTGTTTTCTAGTCTTTCTATCATTTTCCTAGACAAAGCACCTATCCACAAGTCACGTAAAATTAAATTTTGTTTTCTTCAAATGGCATCTATGATCAGACAATCCTATGAGAAGCTTTAGATGTTGAGGCTGAATTTTGTGTTTTTACCTGATGAAAAAGAAAAACCAATTAGACCTCTTTTTTTTTTACCACAACATTTGTCTTCAATACCATGAGGTGCTAATTAACGCACTCAGAATATGAACAGCATGGAGCTGGGTAGACTCAGATAATGATTTATTGCATACCTTATGCATTGAGTTCTTTTCCCAGCTGAAGTTCATTACTTCACAATAACTGTCTCAGGCTTATGCTGTTTGAGTGTTCTGTTTGCAAGTTCCAAATTATTTAGTTATGACATTATCTGATGTGACAAAATATGTTATATTAATATTTCTTTTCTTCTTTAAAACTACTGGAACATGGCATATGTGAGCCAATATCTGTCCAGTTTCCCTCAGTGACAGAGCTGTTCTTGACATTTTAGCAAAAAAAACCCCAAAAAACATTAAACTAAGAATTCTTTTTTTTTTGCACACCATTATTGTCAACAAATACAGTAATGCTATACATATGTTGGTCTCCTTTCAGAACAAACATGGAATAGTGTGAGGAACATTCTGATAGATGAAAAGGACATGTTTGCAAAAGGATTGGGGTGCCTTCAATCCTGTCCTAACAAATACATATTAAAAGAACACTGCTTGGTTTCAGAAAGGAATGAGAAAAAGTGAGCATCTTTGATAGCAAATTATGACTTATTTTGGAGAGAAAAATTATACAACCCTAAACCAACACAAATCTTTAAAGAATGATAGTTTTACATATGGGATGATGGGAACAGGATATGATTTGTAAATCACAGACAGATTCTTGTGCAGCAGGCCTTTAAAAAAGACATTCTTGTTGAACCTAATAAAAACTTTGGGTCCTCAATAGTTTTACTTATTGATTGGTTTTTGGTTGCTCTGTGTGACTTAGATAAGGTCCCTGTGAATTTCATTACTAAATGTTTACGTCAGATACTGCATTTTATTGTTTGCCTTATTTAAAAAAAACTTTAAATTTATATAACCAAGTTAAAACAATTATTTCTCATTTGCCTGTAGTAAAATGCATTTTTAAAAGATTATTACAATTTAATATGCGATATTAAAGGGGGTATAGTGGTCATGCTACTATGTTAAATTTCAGGAGCATGTGGGTATAATATATACATTAAAATTCTGTTCAGTGCAGCACAGTTTAACTTTTATTCAAATATAAGTAATTTTAATGAGTTCTTCAGTTTAAGAACAGGTCTTTCAAAGATATAAAAAAATCTGAAACTTTAAGTTACTGAATTGCAAAATCCGAATTCTCTTCTCAATACTTAAAAGCCATATAATATTTGCAGTATCCTAAGGTTCAGTCAAAACATTCTTCATGAAGCTATGCCATTTAAAATTAACAGAGTATTTTTTTTTCTTTAGAGCTTTCAATTTGGAAATAATAGTAGCTAGCATTTAATTAAGTACAACAGCACTTTAGCTTAGCCATATTGAACTGGAAGTGGCATATTGGATTTCTTTACAATTTTTTTTGAAAGGCTGTAAGATATAAAACCTACTGTCAAATCCAGATGTTTATAAACATTTCATTCTTCATTACTAAGAAAAGTGAACTGTTTCTGTCAAAAACCCCAACACCCCAGAAAAGTGTCCTTTCCAATGGGAGATTCCTCTTAAAATTGTGCAATGTTGTGCAAAACATGTGGAATGTTGCTCTGAAGGGATTTGTGGACTTTAGAGTTGCTGTGGGGAATAGCAAAAATTTGTGGATTTATCAGTTGGTGAAGAGAAAACAGAAGGACCCAAGAGTATCTTCAAGATAGTAATCTGTCAAATAAGAATCAATAATTCTGTCAGTTCACTTAATAAAATAAACTGTGCCCACAAGAGAATAGCGGTGACTCAACCAGGCATTTAATTTACCTCTCGTTGGCTAAGACAACAGCACTATCACATCAATTGTATTTATAGATAGCCATATTTATTTCTTGGTGTTCCCTGTCACAGTCTTACTATGATATCCAGCTTAAATTTTTTCCCTTTAAAATTCTAGAGAATGTGTCATTTTTCCAAAATTAAGACATAAATTTAAATTTGAATTAAATTTTTGACAGTTTCTTTTTTGAATCATGTTATTTAGTCTTTCCAGTCATGTCGGATTTTTGTGATCCCATTGTTGTTTGTTATTTGTTTGTTTGACAAAGATACTGTAGTGGTTTGCCATCTTCTCCAGCTCATTTTCCAGGTGAAGAAACTGAGGCAAACAGGGTTAAGTGATTTGCCAGGGTCACATAGCTAGTGTGTATCTGAGGCTGTATTTGAACTCAGGTCTTCCCTACTCCAAGCCTGGTACTCCATCTGTTGTGCCAACTGGCTGCCCCTTTGAATCCTGTTTTGGTGCTTTAAGGGAGAAGGTAAAGTATAGTGTTTTTATTCTAGCTCTGCCACTCACTAATGTTGTAGGAACCTGGGTAAGTCACTTAACCTCTCTGAGACTCAGTTTCCTTGGCAGTAAAAATAATAATACTTGTAATCCTCACCTCAGAGGGTTGTTTTGAAGTCAGCACTTTGAAAACCTTAATGTATACATGAGGGTGATTATTCTCTAGCTTGACATCATTTACCTTCCCCTTTTATTCTTTTTAATCTCCTGTGTTGAGCTGGTTGAAAATTTTTCTGTACACAATGAATCAAGGACTTCATAGTCACTGAATTTTATTAATAAATAATGAAAAGAAAGTGGGAAACTATCCCAGTGTTGAACTATTCCGCAGCTGTAATTTCTCAACTAGTCTTGGTACAAGACTATTTAGATCGTAACCGTCAGTGAAGTTATGTATCATAGTGAAAATAACCCATATCTGATCTGTTCTCAATACAGTGTAGGCTGTATACTGTAGGCCATGCTTCTCTAACTGGCCTTTCCCTTTTCCGTCTCAGAGCTAATCATCCCAGCCCTACTTCTCATATTATTGCAGCTTATTTAGCTTTTGGGGATAGGGTGTACATTCTTAATTTTGTTAGTAATGGTGGCTTGTCCCATCTAGTCACACCAACTTCAGCCATACAGAATGAAATTCCCGAATAAGATTTTTCCCATGGAAAGAATGATTCCAGGTAGGGTCTGGATGTAGCCGGCTATTGGCCCCTGATTTCAGCCATGCACAGGTGTGAAGTGAAGGAATTGGTCACAAGGAGCTTCAAAGAACAAATCTTTCATTTTCTAATCCTTTTTGATCCCACTTCTTTATTTTTTCCATACCTGGAATTTGGATGGTGTTTAAAAATTTCCAGCCCTAGCAAAATATGTTTCCCTCATGGGCTGGACAGTAAGTTATTAATCAATCAAAAAACATTTATTAAATTCCTACTATGTGCTAAGATCTAGGGATATAAAAAGAGGCAAAAGACAGTCCTTGCTCTTGGACATTCTCCCATTAAACCAAGGGATCCCTAAACTCATCAGTGCTCATGTAAGTGACACTGCCTTCTCACTGACAACATAAGCCAAATAGTTAAAACAAACATGTATTAACCTGCATAATGAAGAATGATTTCTTTTTTTATGTACATTGGACCTTGCGGAATTTCCATGCATGCTACAAGTGGAGGCAAAGGAAAAAAAAAAGGAGACCTGTGAACATGCCCAAATACACTGACCTAGTTTCAGTGATAATGAAAGGAACCATTATCATCAAGGCCTCTTTGTTTAGCAGGCCAGTGGTTCTAAGGATTCTGTCAAATCAGTGAAAATTGTGTTTTGACCACTTCCTCCAATTGGTTAGCTGTCCCTTTAAAAGGCGATGGTGTTATTTTATAAATAAATTGAGGTTTACTTTAGAGTCTTGCAGATTTTTAAAGGGTGTGTATGTCACTCAGTTAATAAGCACTTATGAAGAACACTTGGGCAGCTAGGTGGTGGATGGAGTGCTGGGCCTGGAGTCAGAAGGACCTGAGTTCAAATCCAGACTCAGCCACTTACTAGCTATGTGAGCATGGGCAAGACGTTTAACCCTGTTTGCCTCCGTTTCATCTATAAAACGAGCTGGAGAAGAAAGTGGCATAGCAGTATCTTTGCCAAGAAAACTCCAAAGGGGTCATGAAGAGTTAGGCACAACAAAAGACAATTACTATGTCAGTAATAATAATAGCTAACATTGACATAGCACTTTAAGCTTTGCAAAACACTTTAAATGTCATTTCATGTCATCCCCAGAGTAACCGTGGGAGGTAGGTGTTATTATTCTCATTTTACAGATTTAGAAACTGAAGCAAACAGAGGTAAAGGGACTTGCCCAGTGTTAAGTGGAAAGAACACTGGACTGTAAGGCAGGAGATTTGGATTCATGTCTTCAAGTTAGTCACCTCTTGGAATTTCAGTTTACTCTTCTGTAAAATTAGAGTTTAATTAGACAATTGCTAAGTGAGATAATATTTGTAAACTACTCAGTGTATTGCCTGACACATAGTAGGCACTTAATAAATGCTTAATTTTTTCCCTTACTTTCTTTTTTAAAATTTGTTTTATTTTCAATCCACAGAACAAAGCAAGCATTTACATAACACAACACGATAAAAAAAAGATAATTGCACATAAAACTGTAAATCTAACATACACGTTGTTGAAAGGAGGCAACATAGTATACTTGGAGGAGTGCTGGATTTGGAATCAAAAGATCTGGGGTTAGCAAAGTGTTTGGCACATAGTAGGTACTTAATAAATGATTGATGACTTGCCCAAATCCTGACTTTGATACTTGCTACCTTTGTGACCATGGACAAGTCACCCATTCACCCCTCTGGGCCTCAGTTTCCCATGGGTTAGGTAGGTAGTATATTACGTTGATCTACCAACTAAATGTGAGAAAAGTACTTTGAGAACCTGACAGTGCTATGCGAATGTGAACTTTTATCATGGGGAAAGCATCAGAATTGTGCTGTAATAGGACAGAATTCTGGATTAAAAGTTGAGACCTTGTATTTGGTCCAGGCTCCATAGCTAAGTGCCTATATGATCCTAGGCAAAAAACCACCTCCCTGGATCTCATTTTCCTGATGTGTAAAATGATAGGGCTGGACTAGATGGTTTTTCAAGTTCCTTCTTGCTCTAACATTCCATGGTCCTTCTACAAAAATAAAGTGAGATGGAGCAGCTAAGTGGCGCAGTGGATGGAGCACCGACCCTGAGGTCAGGAGGACCTAAGTTCAAATCCAGCCTCAAACCAAACACTTGACACTTACTAGCTGTGTGACTCTGGGAAAGTCACTTAACACCAATTGCCTAAAAATAAAATAAGAAAATAAAACGAGTTTTCTCTAAATAAGAGCATTCATGCTCTGAGGACTTTGTTATGCACTACTGCATTGCGGGAAAACCTTTCCCATTATTTGTATAGTTTTCCAAAGAACTTCTAGAAACCAGTTGTAAAGCAGAGATCTATGGTCAGGTATTGCTATATGAGGGAATCTTGGAATCTCATTTCTGGAGGGCCCTGGGAACATTGAAAATCTATCTGGGATGGCAGATTCCAGTTAAGGTTGTAATTGCTTCCATTGAGAGATCTTCAGTGTAAGAATACCTTACATTGTTAGAATACCTTACAGGAGCGAGTCTAACAAGGAGAAAAGGTTTTTTTTTTCTTTTGTAGCAGCAAAGAAATTATCTTAAAGTCTGGGTTATCCATATTTGTGCAGGCTCAACTCTGGTCCTCCTCAATGATTGCTGCTAGTGTTCTCATCATGGTACAGAGTAGAAACAGTGCTAGCTTTCATACCAGAACACCTAGGTTCCACTGTCTCTACTACTCAGTGCCTGTGTGAGCTTGGGCAAGGACTCAACCTCCATGGACCTTAGGTCTTTTCCAACTCTTAGATCTTGCAAACTTAAGCATTTTTAGGTGTTGCTGCCCAAGCTATATTTCATATGATTTTATATATGTACATATATAAAATCATTTTTAGAAGGCGTTTTCAGCCTCACAGCTCAGAAAAGAATCTTTGGGAATATGATTTCAGATCCAATTTCAGCCATCAGATTTCAGAAGAGATTCCTTCAAATTAAGTTCAACATTGAAAAGCAGCCAAACACAGCTTAATTGCAATGACAAATCTAGGTCCTAGAGTACATATGATGTAATACACTTCCCTCTTGGTAGAGGTGGCAGGGGAAGCAGGAGGAGGGTACAGGAGATGAATGTTGCATCTGAGTCAGATGAAGTTGTTTTCTCAGTTAACTTTGCTGAACTATTTTTCTTTCTTGTGAGAGAGGGTCCAAGGAACTAGAAAGGGTATGAGGAAATGATTGTAGTGGAAAAACAAAAGACATCAATAAAACTAAAAGAAAATAAACAAAACCTCAATTCAGCTAAAAAGAATCTCAGCCCTTTGAATGTCTACAGCACCATGGGAAAGACGAAGGTAAACTCACATGTTGCATATCCATTGGCAATGCTTAAGGAAGTTTATGAATGCTCTTGTGATGATTTCTCAAGCCCATTGATAATTTATGATGCTAAATTCTCTACACTAATGAAGTGGATTGGGGACAGTAGGAAGTAATGTCTAATCTGAAAGTATAAATAACTCAAGAGGAGGGAGACCTTCAAAGAAATTTATCACTTAGTGGGCATGTAATTATTACTAATGGATCAGGCCTATTGTCTGAATAAAATTGGGTATGTGATAGCTAAATTGGTGGGATTAAACACATTTTAATCATATTATTTCAGGTGGTTTGAACCCCATTTGATGTAGAAATATAAAATAGTTGGGGTGAATCATTTCCATGTTAATTCCTGTATATGAATCATGGTTATGAATATATTTTCATGAAACTGGCATAATTCACACAGCTATAGGTCAGGGACTCATAAATACAGAAACTTGCATTATCTAGAGACTTTTAAAATTGTAGGGATGTTTCCTGAATGTGCTATTTATGTATTAGTAGGAAATTTTATTTCCAACCAAGATACATCATAGGTTGTTTAAAAAATTTTCAGTGATGACCAATTGATGATGAGGGGAGATCGCTGACAATTGTGTGGGTTTTTTTTCCCTTTTCTTATTACAGATTATTCTTCACTCTATGCACAAATACCAACCACGGGTGCATGTCATTCGCAAAGACTGTGGAGACGATCTTTCTCCTGTCAAGCCTATTCCATCAGGGGAAGGGGTTAAAGCATTCTCATTTCCTGAAACTGTCTTTACCACTGTCACTGCCTACCAGAATCAGCAGGTAATTACCTCTCTGTCTTTCATGGACTTCTATGCCATATTTTTTACTCTAGGAGAAAAGAAAAAGTTAACCTTGTCAGTTTATGATGAAATATTATTACAGTCTGTATTAAATGAAAGGCAATGGGCTATGATGGATAGAGATCCAGTCTTAGAACTAAGGACACCTGGGTTCAAGTCTTGCCTGTGATACACACTGGCTGGGTGACCCTGGGCAAATTCCTTAATCTCTCCCAGTGCCCCAGAACACTCTCCACTATTCTACATTGCAGAGCAGTCACTGATGTGCATTGGTAGAGGGAGTTTCCACACCAGCAGGGTCTTGAGCAATGAAGTAGCAGATCTAGACCCTATGCTAAGTACTTAAACCTAAAATAATGGTATTGAGGTAGGAATAATTCTTCAGTGCTCCCTCAAACAAGATTTTTCTAGCAAGGGCTTGTCACAATAATCTTAGTTCCATGTTGCTCTGGTAAGTGTATTCGTTAGGCACAGTTTTCTTGTGGTAATTGAGGTAATTTGGTAGATCCATGATGCTGTCAGTATTTCTTTAATTGGTATCATGCCATCTCCTCCTCTGAGATCTTTGTCTATATTGTCACATAAACCCTATACAGTAGTAAACTAGAGGCCTTTCTCTTGTTCTTTTAATATTTTGAGTGGACTAGTATATAGAAATAGAACGTGATAGAGAGAGGAGATAGGAAGGCAGAATTAGAATCATGAAGGCCTGGATTCTAGTCCTGACTCTGACATTTATTAGTTATATAACCATGGGTAACTCACTTAACTACTGTGTGCCCCCAGACAACTCTTTTTTTTTTTGAGTCAATCAGGGTTAAGTGACTTGCCCAGGGTCACGCAGCTAGTCGGTGTGTGAGGCTGGATTTGAGCTTGGGTCCTCCTAGCTCTAGGGCTGGTTGCTCTGTCCACTGTGCCAATACCTGCCTGCCACCCTCACCCTATGTCCCCCAGCTCTTTAAAAGATTATATACTTGCATTATATATTCTTTAAGCTATTATACATACATATATATATATGTATATGTATATAAAAGATTATATGTAATCACAGATTATTGCTAATCAACATTGATGGAGTTTCCACACTAAGAATTCCCCCTCACCCAAATGAAATAATAAATGGAAAGACAAAATCAAAACCATTCTACACTTGAACTATCCATCTGTTGCCCTATATTCTCTCCTTATGACCTGCAATCCCCTTTTATTATCATAAATTTCCAAAATAATTTCAAAAAAATTACTTCACATCTTATTTGCAAGTCATCCTTGGTAAGATCCTAAAGCTTTCTCATACCCAACCTGGGTCTTTCTGTTGTTCTGGGGATTATTCATCATGCTAATTTTTCTGAGATCTTCGTGCTCCATTTTAGGGTGGTGAGTTTGCTTATGAGTGTTGAAAACTGATATTATTAAATACTATATATTAGATATTATATACTATCTTATAATTCTATATTATATAATATTATTATTAGTTATTATCTAGGTAACAGAAAAATAAAATTTCACAGATGAGTTGTGCTGAATGGAATGAAGATAGAAGTTCTCTTTCTTTTAAAACATTTAAAAAATATATCACTTTCAGGCTATGTCTAGATAGGCCAAGTGAACTAGACAACTCTATCTCCAAATGGTTTCACAAACACAGTTTTCAAAAGAAAGAGCCAACTGATTGAAGGTAATATTCTCTGTGTAGGCCTTTTCCTGTGCCCCTTTTATGATTTCATTCATGTAGGAAAATCCTTCTACTAATTCAGGTCGACACCTGCTTTACAGTTTATGGTCTTGGACAGTTGCCTTGGAGATTAAGTTACTTGGACAGTGTCAACTCAGCCAGTCTTTGTACAAGGTGGGACTTGAATCTAGGTCTTCTGGACTCTAAGGCCAGAAAACCGTCTTCTTGGTTGTCTTCTGGTTTGTTTCTTTGTTCGTTTGAATGGTCCTCATACATTGCTCTACTTCTTTACTTTCCGTATGTGAACATCTCATCTAAGGACCCAAAATTTTATCATTTGGTTTTAGTTACTTTTAGAGGAGAAGGACTAGAAGTGAACTTTGTCATTTTGAGTCAAAAGTCTCAGAGTCATTTGGGTTTAGGAATCAACAGGCCTTCCTTTGGGGCAGAGATACAAAACCTCTCCCACATAGAAACACATGTCCAGGCCTAGAAATGGAGCCTTTTTTTTACTCTCTTTATTAATGGCAGAGTGGTGGTCCTGGAAAGAACTGCGTATTTGGAGTCAGACAACCTAGGTTCAAATCTTGGCTATGCCACTTAACACCTGTGTGACCTTGGACAAATCACTTCACTGCTCTGAGTCTCAGTTTCCTTATCATTAAAATAAGAAGGGTCAGTCTAGATGTCCTCTAAGGTCTCTTCCATAGCTCTAGACTTATGATCCTGTGAAATAAGAATGCACATAAATATATAAAATGGACCATTAAACTCTACAAAGAGTTTTCCAAGGGATTTGAGAATTAAAAGGTCTATCGGGAGAGTTTCAAAGAAGAATACTAAGAAATTATAAATCTATATATAGTTCTAAATATTTTAATACATCATATGGAAGGATTTTATAATGGGGACTTTTAAAAAGAGTTTGTAATCCAATGTACCTTTAAATATCAAGAATTTGGTTATTTTAAACTAATTTTATGATTTTTAATTATTTACCAAATTGCCTATTTATCTCTCTGTGCCAGAAAAGTGTGAGAAGGTGGAAACTTAGTTGCCTAAATAAAGAATTGATATACTCAAGAGAAGTTTACCAAAAAAATGCTAAGGCTCAATTAAAGAGCTACTGATACAAGAGGAGCAGTAGGACTAAAAACATATCAATCACAAATCCATCTTTGACTTATTAAGTGGATCATCTTTGCAAATTTCTACGGCCCAAAAATTTCACATCCCTATAGTCAAACTTAGGAATGATTCCCACCCCACCCCCAACTAAAACTCAGCTTGTCTGGCCCTCAAACTCCATCATTGGGCCCATGGTTGAAGACTTTACAACTTAGACTTCGTTGGTCTTCTTGCTGTTCCTCAAATACGGTCACTCTATTACCTGACTGAATTGTCACTGGCTGTGCCCTATGCATAGAATTCTCTCTCTTCTTAACTCTCTGCCTTGTGGTTTCCAGATTTCCTTCAGGTCTCAGCTAAAATTTCACCTTCCAAAAGAAACCTTTCCCTGTTTTGCTCAATGCTGGTGTTTCCCTTCTGTAGATTATCTCCGGTTTATCCTGACTCTGCCTTGTTTATACATAGTCTTTTGCACTCTCTCCCCGTTAGACTGTGAGTGCTTGGGAAGATTAACCTTTTTTTTTGGTTGTTGTTTGTTTGCTTTGCTTTGCTTTCTGTTCCCAGCATGTAGTACAGTGCCTGGTACGGAGTAGGTAATTAATAAATGCTTACTGATTGAATTTATTTGGCTAAGTGGAACCTACCAGGGTTCACACTATGCTGACAGAGCCTTTGAAAACCTACGCTTACACATCTGGGTAGATCTTTGTTGTCAGTTTGTTTCAGTCATTTCAGTTGTGTCTGACTCTCCATGACCCCATTTGGGGTTTTCTTGGCAAAGACACTGGAGGGTTTGCTGTTTCCTTCTCCAGCTCATTTTACAGATGAGAAAACTGAGGCAAACAGGGTTAAATGAGTTGCCCAGTGTCTGAGGTAGTAAGTGTCTGAGGCTAGATTTGAACTCATAAAGATGAGTCTTCCTGATTCCAAGTGCTCTATCCACTGTGCCACCAAGCTGCTTCAGAGTAGATCCTTAATGGAGGAAAATTCTTCATGTCAATCAACAAGTATTTATTATGCACCTACTGTGTGCCAAGCACCTGTTAGGTGCTGGAGATACAAAGACAAGAATGTAACAACCTTACACATGTCCTTACAAGAAACAAATCCTATAACATTTGTTAAGCGCCTAGTATGTCTGTGTGCTACAACATTTAGAAAAAATGTGACTCCGGCCATGTTACAAGGAAACAAAAATTCCTTTAGTAGCGGAGCAAGAGTCCTGGCAGATTGAAAGGAAACACTACATGCATAACATATTATGACCTTAATAAGACTTTTGAGTCTGTTGCTACAATAAATGCTTATAATACGCTGGGAAGACATTAATTTAACAGGTGATGTTTAAGTTAGGCGATGTCCATTTAGCATGATGGAGGTTTAGTCACTGACTGGTGGATTACTGAAAATTTGTAGAGATTTAGATGATACTTTTTCTTGTTGTTGTTTTCCATACAGGTAATTCCTAGCCTTGGTTATTGAGAGTTCATCAGAGGTGTCAGACTCGAGGCTCAAGGGCCATTTACAGTGCCTACTTTTTAAAAATTAATTTTATTTATTTACTTGTTACATTTTTAGTACTCAACTGTCTCCCACCCTCCCTCCTTACCCCTCACTAAAGAAAGTCACCATTTGACACAGATATATACATATATATGTGTACATGTATGTATATGAATATGTGTATATGTAAAATCCTATTATGCATGCTTCTATTTATCAATTCTTTTTGTGGAGACGGATAGCATCTTCCTTCATAGGTTTTTGTAGTTGACTTGATTACAATACTCAGAATAGCTTAGTCATTCACAGTTGTTCTTTGAACAATATTGCTTTTACTATATACAATATCTTCTTGGTTCAGCTCATTTCACTCTTCATTATTCCATGCAAGTCTTTTTATGTTTTCCCTAAAATCAACCTGCTAATCATTTCTTATAGCACAGTAGTATTCCATCACAATCGTATGCCATAACTTGTTTAGACATTCCCCAATCGAAGGGCATCCCCTCAATTTCTGTACAGTACCTAATTGAGTGATTAAAATGCAATTGGGAAATTTTAAAGAAAAATAAATACAAGTTACAATATAATACAAGTTACAAATAAATACAAATTAATTTGTGGTTTTCTAAGTCAATATGCCACCTGCAAGGATCTGTTTCTACTTGAGCTGGACACCACTGGTTTACATCATCCTTCCAGAAGATGGGATTCAAAGGATGATTATTTCATGAAGTGGAAGAAGGAACTACAGCGAGAAGCCAAACAATAACCAACAATTTAGAAGCATAGTCTAGAGCTAGACAGGACCTTGGAAGCCATCTTGAGCTAAATTCTTCATCAACAGATGAAGAAACTGAAGTCTGGGAAGGTTAATCAACTTGACAAATGTCATGCAGTAGAAATCATTAACTCAGGTTATCTGACCCAAGAAACAATACAACTTCCACTGTATACTCCCCCCCCCTTAAAAATAAAAAAAAGAGAGAGATCTAAATTTAAAGTGATTCTTACCCAATTGTTGATATGAATAGACATAAAAACAGAACAAAGTTTGCTGAGGACAAATCCAAAACAGTCCTCCTGAGGAGAGAAAAGGCAATGTACAAGATGGGGGAGAGATGGTTAATATGCCAGAATGCCCTAAAATAATCGGGGCCTCACAGAACATTGTAGAACAACTATATGTGAATGAGCCAAGGAGCGTCGTAATTGAAACAGAAAGCACAACACTGTGTTATGTTAATGATACTTCAGGACCAAGGAACTAACAGGTTATCCTCTCCTTCTTTCTATCCATAGTCCATAATACATGAGTGCTGTTGTGTCCAGATCTGGCCTATAGAAATTATAATGTATCTCTAGAACTTGGATGAGGGTTCAAAGGAGACCTGTAAAGATGATTAGAGGGTTGAACAGTAAGAGCCACAAGGAAAAGTTATAGGAATCTGCATTTTTTTCAGCCAGGATAAGAGAAGGCTTAGTTAGAATTTAATAACATCGTTGAAGCGTATAAAGTTGTCATATACATAAGATGATAATCAGCTCTTTTTTTCCTCCTCACTAAGGGAAGAGAAGAAAGATCATAAGCTATTATAACAAGAGCTCCTAACATTTCTTGTGACCTCTTGGGCAGTATGGTGAAGTCTATAGACTCCTTCTCAGATTAATGTATTTAAATGCATAAAATAAAATACATAGGATTACAAAGATTACCCCCCCCAAAAAAATTAATCACATTGAAATACATTTGGGGCAGCTGAGTGGTGGAGTGGATAGAACACCAGCCATGGAGTCAGGAGGACCTGAGTTCAAATTAAAACTAAATCAGACATTTACTAGCTATGTGACCCTGGGCAAGTCACTTAACCCTAATCCCCTCCCCAAAAATACATTTATCAAAGTATATTTTAAAAAAACTTCACAGACTCCAGTTTAAGAACCCCCAAGCTATCAGTTCAAAAATATAGAGCTAGAGGAGATCTTAGAGGTCTTCTAATCTAATTCCCTCATTTTGGCAGTTGAGGAAACTGAGGCACAGAGTGGTTAAATGACTCACACAAAGTCAGGTAGGTAGGTAAGTGGCAGAAGTGATGTTTGAACCCAGGTCCTCTGACTATGCAACTTTTTTCCTCTCTTCCACATTGCCTCCTGAAAATAAATCTAAGGAGAAATTTAAGTATAATAATGATTGTTACAAATTAGAATAAGGTGTCAAGAAGAGTTACAGAATCAGTTTTGAAAGAGGGCTTATATGGAGAACACATTTTTACCTTTATTAAGTGATGTATATGGCTCTTCCTGAAGGGATTCAAGGGATGAACTTGAATGGATTTCTCAAGTTTCTGCCCAGTCAGTTATTTATAGTGTTAAAGTATTAGAAGACCAGAGGGTAGCTCTACAGTAAAGCAAAGGTTCATGTTATCATTATGAATTCTTAGTTCAAATCTTGCCATAGACATTTACTAGCTTCTTGACTCTGAGCAAATCACTTAGTTTCTGCCTGCCTCAGTTTCCTGATCTATAAAATGGAAATAATAATAGCACCTGCCTCCCAGGGTTCTCATGAAGATAAAATGACATAGTATTTGTACAGTACTTTGAAAACTTTAGTGCTACATAAATACCATTATTATTGTTATTATTCATTCTGTGGACATTTTTCTTCATAGTAGTTTAGGTTGTAAAGGTATATTTGCTCATAATTTTTGCTTTCTTCAACACGACTTTTTCTTCTTTAGATTACACGACTGAAAATTGACAGAAACCCCTTTGCCAAAGGATTTCGCGATTCTGGCCGTAACCGGTAAGGTTTTGATATGTGGTTTATCAGTGATAGAAGTAATGATAGATCTTATTTATTGACTATTTTGTCCTCCTTATTTTAAATTATAAAACATCTCATTCAGACTTCTGTTACTGTGAAAAACAGCTTTACTCTACAAAAGTAATGTCCAGTAACTTTGGAAAGTTTATAGGTTTTGTGGTCCACTGGTGGCACAGTGGATAGAGCACCGAGCCTGGAGTCAGGAAGACTCATTCTCCTGAATTCAAATTTGGCCTCAGGCACTTACTAGCTGTGTGACCCTGAGAAAGTCACTTAATTCTGTTTGCCTCAGTTTTGTCATCTAGAAAATATGCTGGAGAAGGAAATGGCAAACCACTTCTGTATCTTTGCCAAGAAATCCCCAAATGGGGTCATGAAGAGTCAGACACAACTAATCAAAAAACAAACAAGACAAAACATAATTGACAATAACTGAAAAGTACTAATTTGATATTTGTAATTAAGCTAAGCTTGGGGATGACCCATCATGATAGCTTGGGCTCAATCTATTAGCCTAGTCCATTTATAATAATGTATTTTGGGACTGGACCTTTCTTGACCTACAAGCATCGATAAAGCCCAATGTCATAGAGTGTCTTTTCTTTAAGATGACCAGATAAAACATATGAAAGCCACATTATTCCCCCTCCCCATTTTATTTGTCTTACCTTTACATATTCCTTAGTCTCCAAATTGTTATATCTCCTTTGCCAAAGTTACTTACTTGCTTAATTTTTTAATGTTTTTACACTTGGGATTATTCCTACCACTAATTTCTCCTGCTTTGTTGCCTTTTTTTACTAATCTGGTTTGCAAGCCAGTGGTTTGTTCTGTGTGTGTGTGTGTGTGTGTGTGTGTGTGTGTGTGTGTGTGTGTATGAGTGTATGTTTCCTCTCTGTGGTTATGGCTCTATTCCAGTACAGCTTGTAGTGGTTATTTGATAAAACAACTAGTTGATAATAATAATTATGACAGTGGTTAATAGCATACATAATCTAAAAGTAGGGCAGGAACTAGTATAATCTCAACATTCCACTTCTCAGTCCAGAGTTCCACCTAGAATGCTACTTTGTCTTTTATGTGATTCCCCCACCCCTGCACTCTAAGAAACAAATAATTTATAACTATTTTTTATAAAAAAAATTCCTATGAACAACCCCATTGTCTCATGGAAAGATGGTTTTCATAGGATGTATGAACAAGATCCATAAGCTAGTTATTTCAGTGGGGGAGGAGAGGATGAATCCTCATAAATAATGTGTTGTGATTCCTAGTAGCTTGTATCTCAATTATGTGTTTTGTGAGATAGAAGAATCACAATGAAAGCTCCTCTTGAAATCCTTTATTTTCACTCAGAGAAGGTGGCCTGTTGTACTTGAATTTTTCATTCTTGTTTTACATGAAAAGAAACAATCTTACATTAGGAAACTATGTAGTCCTGGTTGAATTTTCAGTGAGTTCTGTTTTACCCAGTTTACCAAAAGTACACATTTTTCCTGAAAAGTTAGTTATAAATTGAACTATATATTAATTGATTCACAAGCATTTATTAAGCACCCACTGTGTACCACACGCTGAGGATACAAAGACAAAATGAAATATTACCTTCTCTCAAGAGCTTACCTTCATTTTAGGGAGATAATATGTGTATATAAATGGTTGTTTATAGCATATAAAATAAATACACAGTAGTTTAGGAAGGAAAAGAGCAATTTGTGCAAATATTGCTGGTGATAGCAGTTTTGAGGGAAGTCAGTTAAAACTTCATGTAAAAGGAAAGTAGTGCCTTGGTTGAGTCTGGAAGGAATTCTAGGAAGTGGAAGGGTTGGTTGGTCGTCCTTCATTCTCGAAGAGGACCAAAATGACATCACTCTGCTAGAGTCAAGTTACAGTGTGTCTGACTATGGCTGACCAGACCAGTACGAGCTTGGAATGTTCTGCCACAGGTCAAGCACAAATACTCCATGTAAATGTTTGGTGTGGGTTCTCTAAATCTGTGCATCTTGCAGTTCTTTTTATCTATTTCAATTCTGCTTTGCTCATAGAGTACAGCCCCTCCTCTGATGAGGGTATCCCATGCTGAGCGGTCCTGTGCCAGTGTCTCCAATGTCACACAATCAATTCCAAAGTTCTTAAGAGAGACCTTAAGAGTGTCCTTGTATTGCTTCTCCTGACCACCATGTGAATGCTTGCCCTGTGTGAGTTCTCCATAAAATAGTCTTTTTGGCAAGCATATGTTTTGCATTGGAACAACATGGCCAGCCCAATTGAGTTGCACTCTCTGAAGTAGAGTTTGAATGTTTGGCAGTTTAGTTCGAGAAAGGACCTCAGTGTGTGCTGTCTTATCCTGGAGGGGAGAAGGTTAAGGAAAGAGAGTGTTCCATGCGAGGACAACAGCAGTGATGAGATGCTGTGTGTGAGCAGCAGCGGGAAGGCAAGTTTGGCCAGACTGTAGAGTCGCTGGAAGGGGAATCATCCATGAGACTGGAAGATAGGTTGGTGCCCAATTGTGAAGGGCTTTAAAAACCGTTTGGAGGAGAGATTTTATTCTAGAGAGGATGGAGAAATACTGGAATTTATTGATTGGACTTGTAGTTTAGGAAAATCACTGTGGTAGCTGTGTGGAGGATAGGTGGGAATGGGTGAGAGACTTGGGATGGGAGAGCAGTCAGGAAGTCATTGCACTTAGTCTGCATGAGAGATCAAGTGATGAGGACCTGGGTGGTGGCTTTGTGAGCGGAGAGAAGGAGAATTCTATAAGAGATGTTGTGGAGGTAGGAAGGACAAGAGGTGAAAGGTAGAAGATGGGCTTTGTTGTTGTGGTCGTTCGGTTGTGCTTGACTCTTTGTGACTCCATTTGGGATTTTCTTGTCACAGATACTGGAGCAGTTTGCCATTTCCTTCTCCAACTCATTTTATAGATGAGGAAACTGAGACAAACAGGATTAAGTGACTTGCCTGGGGTCACACAGATAGTAAGTGTCTGAGTTAGGGTTTGAACTTAGCTCTTCCTTACTCCAGGCTCAGAGCTCTATCCACTGTGCCACCTACCTGCCCCGGAGGATGGGCTACCTAAGAGAAATATTTGGGGAACTATGTAGTACTCCTTTTTGTAAAGTGGTAAATCATTTAAAAATTGTTTTTTCAGAATTTTGTTTTTTATCAATATTGGGTCTAGACATCCTGCATTGCTTGTGGCTTGTTTTCAAAGTTGGATTTTAGAAGTGACTTTTAAAAGTAATAATAATGATAGTCACAAGTAAAATAGAATGAGTATTTCATTGGGGGTCAGAAGACCTGGGTTTGAAGCCCAGTTCTACCACTTAATACCTCTGTGACCTTAGACCAATCATTTCACCTGATCAGGCTATAAGGTTTGCAAAGATTAGCTATGCAACAATAAAAACACTGATCATTCCACAAAGAGAGAGCTTGTGGTAAAGGCTAGTATGAATACATATGAGACGACACTCAGCCTGTGTTGTCTACGTGGTAGCCAAAGTTTGTCATTTAAGATCCTTCAATTCAACAAGCATTTCTAAGTCCTTACTATGTGGAACATACCAGGAATATGAAGACAAAATGAGAAACAATTCTAGCCCTCAGAGAATTGGAATGAGAGTGGGAGGAAAGAGGTTAGAATAAGACATTTAAGAAATAAACATGCTATAATTTGAGAATAGAGACATGGGGGATCAGAAAGGACTTCCTATAGGATGTGGTACCTAAATTGAGCCTTAAAGCAAGTTGAGAATTCCAAGAGGCAGAAGTAAGAAGGGACATGATGGTCAACTTGTACAAAAAACATGGAAATGAGAGAGGGAAGAGTGAACTTGGACATGCAAAGGAACAGGAAATAGTTGAGTTTATTGGAATAGAGAGTAACTGAAAGGGAGTAAGTGAATCAGTCTAGAAAGGTCTGCAGGAGCTAGATTGTGAAGGGCTTTAAATGCCAAAGTAGTTTATATTTTATCCCAGAGGTAATAGAGAGCATTGAACAATTATTTTTAATGAAAAGAAATTAGCAAAAAATAGCCATTCAAATCGGTTGTTTAGTTTGACTTCAATAACAGCTTGGTTGAATTTTTTCCTCTTACTTTTTTTAAACTTGTTTTGTGTTATGAAAATTTGAGCTCCCTTCTTGTACGTAAATTCCCTCTGTCCCTTTTCTTGGGTTCACTGAAAATATAGGAGTGAATCCTATATTTGCATTAATTTTTAACTTCTTAATTGTTTCAAAATATTTGTGATTACAATTTTTATATCTAAACACATAAATTAAATGAACTAAACTTTAAAATTATCAGTATGACATGAAAATATTGGCTATCATGTGGATTGATGACTAGTGTAAAGATGCATTATATTGACTTTTCCAAAAAAAATCAAAACCACAGATAGATAAGATGTGTACTTTGAAAAGCTAAATATTTTTAAAACTGCAAACTCTCTACTACATGAATTTAAAATATAATTTACTTTGACTAACAAAAACTGTATTTTTATAGAAAAGAGAGAACAGTTTTACCTTTTAATGTCATTCATTTCTTATTTACACAATTCAACTCGACAAAACCTTATTAAGTTCCTTCTATGTATCATAAACTCTGTTAGGTATGGGGAACAATAAAGACCAAAAAAAAAAATCCAACTCTCCAAAGGCCCTGCCTTCAAAGAGCTTACATTCTACTGAGGGTGGGAGGGATGCAGACAGGGAGGTAGATAATAGCATCTACAGAGAAGTAAATATAAAACATTTTAGATATTATTTCTGGGTTAAATATAAACCTCCTTTGGGGTGGGGCGACAGGTTAGACCATTTTAATAGATGTGATAACAAAAAAAAGTCATAATGAAAGATTGGATTAGATTGATTTCTTGTGATTGCCTCTGCTGTACACATAATCTATTTGACCCACTTTAAAAAATTGTAATTCTAATGTTTTTTTTCATATATATAGTAAACACATTGGACAAGACAAGACGTAAACAAAGGCCTCTAATTGTTTAAACTATATAAAACAATTCTCTTTAATTAAAAATGCTCCTTTCCAACCACTTTACAGTCCCACAGGCTGTTTTATAGGAATCAGTAGCTTCAGCCCTCAAAAGCTCTGCTGCAGGACATTTCCAGAGTGAAAGAGAATTTATGTGCTGAAAATAGTTTCCTTCTTCAGCAAGGCCTCAGGTTTGACCCTATAAAATTTTTTACTCAGGAAGGTACAAAAATTTCTCCTCTTTAAATACTTCGGGAAAAACATAACCATTTTACTAAATAAACTTGGCCATTTGATAGCGTAAATTAGGGTGGTGATAAAATGTGGAAATTGTTCGAAGGCATCTTGTATAAATTATCGCCTTGGCCTGGCTCCTCCAGGAGGGGCCTTTTATCTTCTCTTTAACTAGAAGCAAAAAGTCTCCATTACTGCACAAAATGAAGGCTTGGGTTTTTGTTGTTTTTTTTTTTTTCAAATGTCCAGGTTCAGCTAATAAATATTTTATAACGGTTTCCTGCAAAATATCTCTGATCCTTTCTGGGGCTTGCAGCCCGAAAACAGCAATCTCAGAAGAAAATATTGATGGCTTCACATCTGATCATTCATATATTTATAACCTTTCCATATGTCTCCTCTAAACCTGGCCTTTGGGCTTTGTTGTTGATGTTAGCTTGTCCCCAGGCAATTTTGTTTGTGAGTTTACAATGAGAACATTATGAACTTGCAGTAAAAAGATTGTGGGTCATAGATTTAGAGGAGGAAGGGAACTCAGGGATCATTTAATCCACCCCCCTCCTTTAAGAGATGAAGAAACTGAGGCCTGGTCAGGTGAAATGATTGGTCTAAGGTCACACAGAGAGTAAGTGGTAGAACTGGGATTTGAATTCAGGTCTTCTGACCCCCAATACAGTGCTTGTTCTATTTCGCTCTCCATAAATGATTCTCTTCTCACATTGCCTTTAATTTCAGGGATTCTTAACTGGTTTTCATGGTGTAGACTGCTTTAGCATCCTGGTGAAGCCTATAGACCCCTTTAAATGTACAAAATTAAATATTTAGAGTTACCAAGAAGACCAATTTATTGAATTACAGGTATCAAGATGTTTTTCAAAAAATATTAGACCCAGGTTAAGAATCTTTGTGCATTAAGCTTAGTCTCAAACTAGCTCATATTCTTTTGAAGTGATAAGGGTATAAATTTTAAATTCTCAATGTCAAGTGACATAATGCATACAAAGTAATCTGCAAACTATAAAGCTCTCTATAAAGTCAGTTAATGTATTAATAATATTATTGTGAAACATATAGTCACATCCCATCTATTGTCCTATATTAAAAAAAACCCCAACAACCCTATAATAATACCATTCATTAAATGGTGTCTACCTAATTTATCTGAAGAATATACTAATGTGACCCTTTGGGTTATCAAGTCAAGCCCATCCAATGAGCATTGATTAAGAATCTTCTGTGTGCCTGATCATGTGTTAACCACTAGGCATAGGAGGCAAAAGAACAGACTCTGTTCTCAGGACACGCTCAGTCTGATTGGGAGAGATAATGTGCAAACAATTATGTAAGGTACATACAGGATAAATTGAAACTAGCCTTAAAGGGAAGGCGCAAACATTAAGGGAGACTGGTAAATCTTCAGTTCAGCAAACACCTATTTAGAGCCTCCTGTGCTTTCCAGATACCCTGCTATGAACTGAGACTAGAAAGACAGAAAGGAACATAGTCTGCACTCGGGAAGCTCACACTCTACTGAGGGAGGGCAACATGTAAATGGGTAGTTAAGCAATAAACATTTATTAAGTCCCTATTATATGACAGTTACCATGCTAGGTGTCGAAGACACAAAAAGAGGCAAAAAACAGCCCAAACCTCAAGGAGTTCACATTCTAATGGAGGAGACAGGCAAACAAATATGTATACACTATAAATAGGAAATAATTAAGAGAAGGAAGGAACTAGAATTAAGACGATTTATGAAAGTCTTCCTATGGAAGGTGAGATTTTAGTTGGAACTTAAAAGAAGTCAGGGAAGCCAGTAGGCAGAGATGAGGAAGGAAAGAAAGAAGGAAATACAAAGTCTTAAAGTATAGTAATTCCTAAAACCATCAAAATGGAAATACAAAGCAATTTTGAAAAGCTTTTTGGGAGCAAACTTAAGGATTCAAAGTAGTTTAAAAAACATTATATTGTAATCTAAAAGTGCACACATATTTAGAATTAATATTAAGTTCTGATATATTCAGTACAGGCAACATGGAGGTAGAGATTTATGTAGCTACATCTGCAAAACTCCTCAGCAAAGAAGTGTGCTTTCAAAGCCACACCACCGTTGGATGGTTCTGAATCACAATTTTGTCACTGATGTGTGGTCTCACTTAAGAGCTGTGAAGAGAACGTTGGTGTGGGGGAGTCGGGGCACAAGCCTGTAGTTCCTTCTATGGGGGGAGGCTGAGATTGATCGATCTCTTGGGCTCAGGAGTTCTGAGCTTTAGTTGTTTATGTCAGTGGCTAGGGATGTGCTTCTACAAAATTCTGCATTGGGGAGAGGGGGCACAGGGCTACCAGCCTGCCTAAGGAGGAGGGACTGGCCTAAATCAGAAGACTTGGTTTCAAATGAACACTTAATTACTAGATATGTTTTCTTAGGGCAGTCATTTAGCCTTGGAGCTTCTGTTTCCTTATCAGTAAATTGTGGGTAATTATATTACCTACCTATCTCACAAGCTGTCCTGAGGTTTAAATGAGCCAATGTGTATAAAGTACTTTGAACTGGAAAGCTTTGTAAAAATACTGTTGTTGTTCTTTTGTCATGTCTGACATCTGACTCCTTGGTGTAGCAAATATAATGGAGTGGTTTGCCATTTCTTTCTCTAGCTCATTTTACAGATGGAGATATTGAGGCAAATGGAACTAAATGACTTGCCCAGGGTCACACAGCTAGTAAGTGTCTGAGGCTAGATTTGAGCTTAGGAGGATGAATCTTCCTGAATCTAGGCCTGTCACTCTATCCACTGTGCCACTACTAATTGTAGACAGAATTTTAAAGTTGAAAAGACCTTTAGAAATTAACTTGCCTAGGGAGACTTAATCTGAAGTCTGTGAACTTGTTTTTTTAAGAAATAGGTAGGTAACTGAATTTCAATATAATTGATTTCCTTCATAAGCTTATGTATTTAATTTTAGACATTTAAAATGCATTATTCAGAGAAGGGGTCTATAGCCTTCACCAGACTTCCGAAGGCAGCCACGATACAAAAAAAAGTTAAGAACTCTTACTCTAGCCCAGTCTGACCATTTTACCAACAAAATAAGCTAAAGCCTATGGCAGTTGTTAGTGGCAGAAATGTTACTATAAATTAATCCAGGTTCCTGATTCCTAATTCAGTATTCTGTAGCACTATGCTATGTAATCTCACCAGTGTATTCATTTTCTGCAGCCAGAACAGACATTTCCTAACATATCCATTTTGTAGATTTCCACTACCATGACAGATGCTGGGTTTGTAGAATCACAGAATCTGAGTCAGAAGAGACCTTAACAGTCATGTAGTCTCTACCATTTATGAAAGAAATTCGACGCCCCACCCCCCTCCACACACACACACACACACACACACACACACACACACACACACACACACACACACACACACACACACACACTTTCATAATATACGGGGCAACAAGAGGTCTTGCAGCCTCTGCTTGGAATCCTCTAAACAGGATTATCACGTAGAGCATGAATAGGTGTGATCTCCAGGAGCCTTCTCCTCCTTCCACCCTAACCCTTACCAGCCCCTCCTTGTAGCAGAGCTGGTTCTTAATCTTTTTTGTGTGTGTCATGTTTCTCCTTGCAAGTCTGCTGAAGCCTAAGGATTCCTTTTCAGAAAAAAAAATTCTTAAATGTATGAAATAAAATACAAACGACTGAAAAAGAAGTCAAAATCTAGTGAAAATAAAGATGAGGTTTTTTTCCCCATTCAAATAAATGACTCCTGTAAATTTTATTTACACATTGTTTCTATTTACAAAGCTAATGATGTGTCTTTGCAGCATTACAGCCACTCAGTACACTTTTGATGTTTTCAAATTGCTTTATGTAGGTTGTCATGTTTGAATCTCAAGACAACCCTGAGGTGTAAATGTGATAGCCATTATTATCATCTCCGTTTTACAGAAGAAGAAACTGAGCCTTATAGAAAGTAAGTGACTTGTCCATGGTCACATAGCTAATGAATTGATAATACTCTACCCTCGGATACTGGTTAGCTGTGTGAACCTGGACAATACATGTAACTGCTGTTAGCCTCAGTTTTTCCAATTGTAGAATGGGGATAATAATAGCACCTACTTCCTAGGATTGTTGTAAGTATCAAATGAAATAATAATGATAATGCACTTAGCACAGTGCCAGGAATATAGTAAGTGCTATGTGAAGCTACTATAATTCTTCCTGCTTCCTTGCAACAAAATTGTATGAGGGTCCTAAGGTTTCTGTTCTGTCTATAGCAAGCACCCGACTTTCAAAAATGCATGACTTAAGAGGTTAGAATCTATAATCAGCAGTATTTTAATCAAATATTTAAAATATTGTAATAAACTATTTGTATTAGAAAGTGTGGAGCAAACTGAAGCTAATTGAACTTTTGTTTTTCAACATTTAGAATGGGTTTGGAAGCTTTAGTAGAGTCATATGCATTCTGGAGACCCTCCCTAAGGACTCTCACATTTGAAGATATCCCAGGAATACCCAAACAAGGTAAATGAAAATCCTGTAAAGTCACATGGGCCAGATATGCAATGTGGTTCTGATGCCAAACTAGGGCTCAAAAAGTTTATTTTATTTTCCTCCCCAATTTGAAAAAGAAAAACAAAGCCTTTGTAACTGATATGAATAGTCTAGTAAAACAAAGTCCCCCTGACCATGTCCAAAAACATGTAACCTTCTGTTCCTTGAGTTTTTCACCTCGGTCAGAAGGTGAGTAGCAATGTGTTATATGAGTCCTCTGGAATCAGGGTTGGTCATTGTAATGATAAGAATTCTTAAATCTTTCAAAGTTGTCTACTTTTGAAGTGTTGTTATTATTGTATCGATTCTTCTGGTTACGCTCACTTCATTCTGCATCAGTTCATATAGGTCTTTCCAGGTTTTCTTTGAAACCATCATTTTGCCAATTGAGCTAATTCTTAAGACCATTGCCACCAATGGAAAAAAATGCATGATCTTGTCTCCCCTGATAATGGTAGCCTAATCCCCCTGCCTTTCACATTCCTCGGGATCCCTCTATATTCAAAGTAGTGGTATATAGGGATTGTTCTTTGGGGCTTGAAAAGATCCATAATTTCACCAGAATAAGTGGTGCTTCTATAGGAATCACCCCACCCCTCTCCCTTTCCCTCCCAGTAGTGGATGTTTTCATGAGTTTCTGTGGCCAAAGAGAGTCATCATCTGTCCATACTGAGCCAGGGTGTACCTCAGTCTTTACTAAGCCTACATTCAAAACTTTTCTAGCTTGTACAGAATTACTATAAATTGTACTCTGTTGGCAAAACTCTTGAGGACAAAAGGTCAGTTGTATTTTGCTTCAAGGCATTGGAGTGTGGAATAGTAAAGAAATACAAGATTTGCTTTTTAGTTGAAACTTCGTGATTTCTTTGGTGAGGGGAACTCCTGGCATGAAAATTCCTCCACCTATACAGATCAGCAACTCAGCTGCAACTTACAGTCTTAGAAAATTAGACTGAGGAGGAGGGAATTGGTGGTAAACCCCAACAACAACAAACCTCTTAGATGACAGATTGAGTCTTGGATATTATTGGATTAGTGATATTGCATGGAAAAAAGGCTTTACCGCCTTCACCTTCAACATTGTCTCATTCCTTCCCTTATCTATCATTCCTTGCCTTTTCTACTATCTTCTCAAATCTATTATATATGTGTATACATATATATATATATAGCTATATATATATATGTACACACATGTGTGTATATGTACATACCTATGTGTGTATATGTATACACACACGCATACATATATGGGTGTATATGTATATATGTGTGTGGGTGCATACATATATACCTATGATGTGCATTCTACAGGTCTCCTATAGGGAGACAATATAGGTTCAAAGAAAACTAATGGGGAACAATGTGAAAGTGGGAAGAGGAGAAAGAATGGTGACAATTTCAGATCAAGGTAAAGCAGGAAATTAAGTTTAGATTTGATAGAAACCTTGGGAAATTCAGAATTTGTAATATTCACTACAGTACTGAGACCAGTTTAGGAAGCAACTTTAAGATCATCACCACTTTTAAGAGGGGAATCTGAATTCAGGAAGCTCTCTTGTGATTAAAATCCTTAAACATGTCTTTAAGTTCTTTAATTTCAAATGAAATTGAATCAAAAGATAGCTGAGTGTCATTGGCTGTTTATGTTTTATTAATCTTTTGTAGGAAACACAGGCTCATCTACCTTACTTCAAGGTTCTGGCAATGGAGTCCCTACCACCCACCCTCATCTTTTATCAGGTTCTCCTTGTTCTTCTCCTGCCTTCCACCTTGGGCCAAACACAAGCCAGCTATGCAGCCTGGCACCTGCCGATTATTCTGCCTGTGCCCGTTCAGGCCTCACCCTCAACCGGTACAGCAGCTCTCTGGCTGAAACCTACAACAGGCTCACTAACCAGACCAGTGAGACCTTTGCCCCACCAAGGACCCCTTCTTACGTTGGAGTTACCAGCAGTACAACCGTGAACATGTCCATGGCTGGCAACGATGGAGACACATTCAGTTGTCCACAGACCAGCTTATCTATGCAAATTTCAGGGATGTCTCCCCAGCTCCAGTATATCATGCCTTCACCATCTGGCAATGCCTTTGCCACCAACCAGACCCACCAAGGCTCTTACAACACTTTCAGGTTACATAGCCCCTGTGCTTTGTATGGATATAACTTCTCCACATCCCCCCAAACTGGCTGCCAGTCCTGAGAAAATTGTTTCTTCCCAAGGAAATTTCTTGGGGTCCTCCCCGAGTGGGACCATGACCGATCGGCAGATATTGCCTCCTATGGAAGGAGTGCACTTGTTGAGTAGTGGGGGTCAGCAGAATTTCTTTGACTCTAGAACCCTGGGAAGCTTAACACTGTCATCATCTCAAGTGTCTGCACATATGGTTTGATGGAGCCTTTAATCAAAATGTAACTTTTTTCTAGTATATTTTCTGTTCTTAGCCGTACGGAAAGACTATCGTTTTGTGACTTGTATAATGTGTATATAATAGAAGAGGAAGGTACAGTGAACCTTTGAATTTGCTCATGGTGAGATAATATATATATATATATATATATATACATGTTATATTTCCATGCTGTGTATACATAGCCTTTTGAGTTATTCAGGCTATACAACTGCAGCCTCCATCTGGCAATCCCGTTGTACAAAGCGTTTGCAATGTATACAACATATTAAGCTCAAATTCCAAAACTTTTTTAAACACAAAATGATATATTTAAAGACTGGCCCTGATAACTAAACATTTTTAACTTAATTTATCAGAAAAATTCTCTAAACATTTGTTACACCTGTGTTGATAATCTACTACTTATGACTGCTGTTATTCTTAGAGATTTGGAAGGTGTGGAGATCTTAAGTGCAGAAGGTCACTCAAAGACAACATCATACATTCTGAGCTATCCATAAGAGTAGAATAGCTTTCTTTCTTTGACTTTGTTCTTATTCAGCAGGGCTAGCATGGAATCTTGGAAAACAGCCTGGTATAGTAAATAGATGGGGCTGCCTCGAGTGTCAGACGATCTGGGTTCAAGTGGTACCTGTGATGTGTATTTACTATGTGACCACAGGCAAGTCATGTAATCTCTCCCTACACATTTCTCTGAAACTATAAGTTATAGATAAATCTCACGTCTGTAGTGGAATTCCTATACTGTGAATCCCCCATACGAATGAAACTACAAATCTAGGCCAAAAAAAATTTTTTTTAATCCTATGACCTAAAGTCCTTTGTGATACTGCTTCTTGGAAAACCAGCAACATCACTGCATTAAAAAAAAAGAAAATTAAGGATTTGTTTTCATTTTCATTGCTCAGCAAGCATATTAGTGATTCTTATTCCTCTACAGAGAATGCATTTGTAGTTATTTTAATTTTTGCTCAAGTATTACCTAATTCTACAATCAAGGAGACTGAAATATGTCTGTGTCCAGTTGTCTTCCAAAGTATATGGCACTCATATTTTGATTTTCACTAGAGAATGCAATATTTTAATCCTAGTAAAATGAGAAAGCGAGAGAGAGAGAGAATACTTATTTTTAATAATTTAAATCCAGCTCCACATTCCCATGATTCTAATAATGAAATACAGGAAATCTCTATTTTAAATCAAAAGGATTAATGTTGTCAGTTTCCCCCTTAGCTGTGCTTGGGTCAGGGGTGTGAGGGTCTCTCTTGCTTTGGGATCTCACTACTAATTGCCTAGGTTGGAATTCTTGACCTAAGGTATATAGATGAGGGGAGGGAGGTTATGGTTTTTATTTATAACATAGTGTCTTCTAACTCCTACGGCTTGGACACTCGCCCTTGTAAGCTGCCCTCTGTCAGAGTCTTTTCCTGTGTAAATTGATATGCTGCCTTTTGGGTTTTAAATAACACTACAAAGAATTTCTGTGGGTCATCTCCATGAATCTGCCTTTTGGAGTCTCTCCTGGCATACTAAATAATAAGGAATTTCACTGGAGGAATTGTAAAGCCATTTCATCTTAACATTTTCAATGCTAAGGGAATTTTTAACCTGAAAACCAAGAAAAATGCAGAGTTAGCTTTGACTCCTCTCTCCCCATTTTGTATGTAGATCTGGGGGGAGGTTGTAAAGCAAATTACTTTAATACTCTTATCACAAGACAAATGAAATTAGCTGTATAGGGAGAGCCGTATTCCTGACCACTCGTTGAGAAAATGAAACAAAACAAAACAATTGGACCTTTATGGACATTTCATATGTGTCAGGCTAACAATGCTATGAGTTTATTATGCCTCTGCACTGAATTAATTGGTTGAATTCAGAACTTCTTAACCTTTTCGGCAATCTGGTGAAGCCTTTGAACCCTTCTCAGAATGATGTTTTTAAGTGTACGAAATGAAATACATAGAATTATAAAGGAAACCAATTATATTGAAATTTAGTTAGCAAATTATTTTTAGAAATATCAGTTTATGGGCCCCAGGCTAAGAACCCCTTCTTTAATCCATCGTTTTGGTCAGAAAAAGCAGTGTCGGTCATGATTTGTTCATTAATACAGCCTCAGGTATTTAGGAATGCCATGAGACTTAAACAGAATCTACATGGGACAGGACTCATGGTTTCGATGCCTGGCCCATTTCCTTTCATGTGTTCTATATTCCCAAAGCCTGAGTTTCAGCAGTTCAGCATGATTCTTATTTTATTTTTTTTTTACAATTAACAGGAAAAGATTGATGTAAACTTTTTGTAATGCCTCAAAAAAACATAGTGGGCGTATCAGCACTCTGCTTGTGTACAATAACTTCTGTCTGGACAAAGATTTGGAATAATGCTAAGAAGACTAAGTGTATGAGTAGATGCAAGGCTGTATGAAAGCTTGTTAATATTCAAGGAGAATTCTCAGTGCCTTGGGAAAACAGGAAGAGGTACTCATTCACCTCCATGTGTGTGCACATAAAGAGTATTTTTTTTTGTTGTGGTCAGTGATTTGGAGATGATTCAATGCTACAGATGTGTTGCTTGTTTGCTTATTTTTTTTTTTAATTCAAGGTCATTTTTATTTTCTGCAAGACTTCACAAATACTACTCAAATTTTTTTTTCCTTTAAAATCTTACTGTAAATAGTTATCACTGTGCCACCATAAAGACTTGCTTTTGTTATATTAAATAGTATCATGCATTGGTATCTGTAATTATCCATCCATATTTTATTACTACAAAAATGCCACAGAAATTATATTAAAGTATGTATCTGAACACATTAGCTTGTACGAGGATTATTGGAGTGTTTGCCGTGTGTGTGTGTGTGTGTGTGTGTGTGTGTGTGTGTGTGTGTGTGTGTGTTTTAAAGAGCAGTCCGTTATGAAGCAAAGCTATCAAGTGAAGTTCAGGGCCTTCCATTACAAGGAAGAAGAACAATTGGATTACTGTACATCTCCTGGATGTTAGAGCAGTGACTGTGCCATTTAAAGGTAAAAGTCATGACAAATGCTGAATATATCAAGGTTCTCATTGTAGAAAAGAAGACATAGGATTTTCTCCCCCTTCTCCTTTTTCATCCTCTTCTGAGTATAAGAGAAGAAAAGAGCCTGGGTGCAAATATGAGTGTCTTGAAAGCTGACTGTCTGCTGACTGATCACTTTTAGGTAAACAGGCTGGAGTCTATTCCAAGGCATGACAGGAGGGGGTAAGGGCAGCCCAGTCATGACCAGTCAAGAGTTTGGAAATGCACAGTTGTGTGGGTGAGACCTTTCTGGCTCTAAAGGGAGGGTCATCAACCTTTCTAGAGTGAGGGTGCCAAGTTACTGACCCCTGCTCTTTTGGAATGCCAGGTCATGGGGTTTGGGGAGAGATGCTGGCAGCAGCTTTAGGCATGGGACACTTAAAAGAGTCTTCTGGTACAAAAATCACTCCTCTCATTTATTCTTTCAGTTAGAGATTCATTTGGGCTAACAAGCCTCTACTTTAAAATACTGATCCCCCTTGGGAAGGGTAAACTTGGTAATAATTCGAACTAAGGTATAAAATTAATTAGATTTTTAGCTTGGTTTTCTCTTTGCATCATCTAGTTAAGGTTGACTGAGGGAACATGAATTTCAAAAGTGTGAGGGTAGGGTGGGGGGGGTGAGTTAAGTAATTTTGGAGCAGGTTTACTTACAAGACTGGGAGAGATGGGATTAGGGCACTATGAGTGCATTAGAGGCCAAAGGAGGGGGAAGGCTGTGAAAGACAAATTTTGAGTCATAAATTTCAAGCTTGAAGGGATTTTAGAGGTTATTAGTTCAACCTGCTTACTTGGCAGATGAGAAAACGGAAAACTAGGCGTGTTAAATGACTTGCCCAAAGTCCCATGGGTAGTAGGTAGAAGAGTCAAAATTTGAACTCAGGGCCTACAGCTCCAATTCCAGTGTACTTTCCACTCTCCTGTGCTACTAACATTGTGATTTTGCTAAGGGCGGAAATCAAATAAATGTTATTTAAATACTAGCTGTTGAGCTTTGTGGATAGAGCACTATACTTGCAGGCACGAAGGCCCTGAGGTCAGATATTGCCTCAGATACTACTTACCCATGTGATTCTGAGCAAGTCACTTAACATCTCTGACTATGGTCTCTAATGTCCCTTCCAGGTCTAAAACCAAGATGAGAAAATCTTTTGGCCTGTTATACATTGCTAATTGTGATACTACAGCATTTCTTTCATGTATTTGTTCTGGCTGTATACCTGTGTATAGACTGCTTTATTTCTAAAAATTACTCCGAGGTTGGCATTTTCTGTGAGTTATTTGTTGACTGATCACCATAACAAGTGAAGTTAACTTATAGTATTAAAATGGAGATTAATAGTAACTGCTGCAGCTCACACTGCTGTAAGGTTTGCAAAACATTTTCTTTATAAACAATCCTGTGAGGTAGGGATTGCAAGGCTTGTCCTGATTTTTACAGGTGAGGAGACTGTGGATATGAGAGGTACAGTTATTTGCCCTTGGTCAGACAGCTAATAAGTGTCTGAGCAGGGTTTTAACCTAGGTCTCTGAATCCAGTTCTCCTTCTACTGCCTGTTTTGAAGATTTGTGCTTTGCTAGGTTTTCTTTTTCACTTCAGTTTGCTAGTAATTCCTCCCACCTTAATAGAAGGGTTCTTGAGTTGCTCTGACACTCTACCCTGCCCTGCCCCTCCCCAAATTATCTTCTTATGGCCAACTTTCTGAAGCTGAATCTTTTCACGCCCAGCTATGCTGATCCTTTCCAATCTCAGAAGGCTGCTCCATTCCGGATGAAGTACTTGGTGTGGAAATAAATACATCTAGGGGTTAGCAGGGCCTACCAAAAAGGTGATCTTTGAACCTGAGTTCAAATTTCAACTCAGACACTTATTAGCTGCCTGACCCTTGGGCAAGTCATTTAATCTCTCTGTGCCTCAGTTCACTCCTGTGTAAAATGGGAATAATTGTAGCATCTACCTCCCAGGGTAGTTGTGAAGATAAAATGAGATTAAGTTCCTTAAGCCTTTTGTAAAACTTAAAGGGTTATATAAATGCTTCTCCTCCTTCATCTCTTCCTCCTCTTCTTTCCTCCTATAATTATTACTCGTCTTTGAGAGCCCAAATTCACATCCACAACACTATTGGTAGGAACTCACTGCATTAAATTGGGAATTGGTACAATTAAATCATTATATCATATTTTCATCTTCTGTCATTTAAGTTTGACTCTGCCATTTAAGCAGTTATATACTCTCGGAGAAGTCATTCCCAACTCTCTGAATCTTAGTTTCTTAATCTGTAAAATGGGAATGATAGTATCTCCCTACAAGGGAGTGTTTAAGAGGATCAAATGACAATAGATGTAAAATTCTTTGTACCACCAAAGAATCCATTGAGGTAATGTTTTGTGATTCATCTAAAATGTTGATTAAGTGGTGAGTTATATTTGGTGCTATAGCGCCCAATGTGAAAAGTTAATTGGACAGATACAGGAGACTTCTAGCAGCTTATGATCTGAAGTAGACACTGACAATATATAGACAAACAAGTAGAGAAGATTGAGCTAATATTGCCAAAGTACTCCAAGTTGCATCCATAGAGAATATTGGTTCATTCTGCAATTTTGTGATTCTTCTGTCACAAATAGTAGATGTTATTTTACTTCTATTTAGAGGAAAAAGTTTTAAAAACAAAATTTTTTGTTGAGCATAAACCTGTTTTGTGATCAGTAGATTTTGATTTTGGCAAATTAGATTTATATTCTAATATAAATAGAAATATTGGGTTAATTAGATTATAAAATAAATTTATGTCTCTCACTGTAGGAAAAAAAGCTAATACTTTGTTGCTTTATTTTGTAACTAAAACATATTAATCATACTTTTTTCCCTTGATTCCGTTTCTTTTTAAAATATTCTCATTTGCATGGCATAAACTCATCATAGTGCATATTCCAGTATAGATTAACACTTGGATAAATATGAACTACAGCCAATTTGAGAAAGTCATATTTTGAGAATGCATTTAAAACTTCATAGAAGTGGACTCAACATTTTCTTAATTATTATTTATGTGAGACTAAGACCTAATAATAGGAAGCATCATTGATTACTAGGTAATTTATTTAACTTAAAGTTAGATCAACATATATACCCTTATCTTGTGCTTTTAATTGTATTAAGCAGTTCACTAGAAAACAAATTGAAGCACTAAATATACCTTCACATTAAAATAATTCCCATAATTTTTACTTCATCCTTAGTTACAGTAACAGATGGTCATTTTAAAAATGCTTTTGTAAGGGCATGCATACAGTGGTTGGCAGAATTTTTTTAATGAAGTTTAGAAAAGTTGGCAATACCACTTCCTCTTGAAAATAGACTACGTTTTAAAGAGTAGGAGAGGAAACATGGTACAAGGGGAGGCAATTTTGGATTTAAAGTAGGAGGACTTGGCTGGTTCAAATCCCAATTCCCATCCAGACACTTACTCAGCATAACCTTGAAAAACTTAGCTTCCCTGGGTCTCAGTCTTCTCTAAGTTATGATGCTGTCTCTGCAGGGTCTTGAGTTCTACCATCTTTAAAACAGAAAGTACATAACTCTGTATATTCAAAGCTGAGGCAAAAACATTTGGCATCTCCAAATGTTTTCTAAATTTTGAAATGTTGAAGTCCAACTGGGAAAAAAAATGACAAGGGGCTATAATGATAGCATGCTTTTCAGAAAAAAAATGATTCTTCATTGATTTCTTTATGAGACAATGCTAAACGGTACTGTAGTTCTCTTTGGAATGTTAAATAGGCCAGATGGTTCCTTAAAAATATGTGTTCCAATGCCAAGGTACAACAGGAAAGCATTATCACCTTAACTCCGGGTTTGTTTTGTGGTTTTCTCTGCAAACCATAACATCATTTTAATGTTTGTTTTTTT